AAAAAAAAAAAAAAAAAAAAAAGAAGTGCAGCTCCACCCGATTTGACTTTATTGTTGATTTTTTTATAAGTGCACAAACGTTAAAATATAACCCAGCTCCAGAAACATGTGGCTTCAGATTAGATGCACATGATTTTTATGCTGTGTCTGCTGTAAAGCACGGATTACTTTATGAGCAGGCGAAGCTCTGCGGGGGCAGGACGCTCTGGGCCAGGCCCGCGGCCGTGTCCTTCGCACGGGGTTGTTTAGGAACAGCTTCTCCACCAGCAAACAGCCCCAAGGCAAACAGGGAGGCAAAGCGGCACCGAAGGAGGCAAAGAGCCCTTAAAGGCCGGTGACCTTGGCCTTGAAGCAGTCAGCGGGGGTTACACAGGACCTTGTGAAGGGGGAAGGCGCGGAGGAGAGGATGTGTGTCGTGTCTCGGAGGGATTCACTTGGCCGCTTCAGAATGAGAGGAAAGGGGAGCTCCTGCGGCTCACCCTGATGGAAGTGAAATTCAGATGGGGGACAAAGTTCCAGCTGACCCGACTCACCTCCATAAAAGAGAAGTGGAGAGTAGGGAGGAGAGAGAGGGAGAAAGAGAAAAAAAGACTGAAAGGAGGAAAAAAAAAAAAAAAGACAACAGAAAAGGGCTCCAGGCAGCAATTACATCCAGATATCGGAGGTACAGTCTCCACCGGGGTAACGGATCTCGTGAGCCAGCACAGGCCCACCAGGCTCCTTCCCAAAATCCACCAGGAAGTTTTTATTCGCCTTCAATCCACCTCGTTCAGTATCCACATCGATCTGCAGCATAACGGAGCCTTCCCTGAAAGAGAGACAAGAAAACAGGCATTGGGCAAGGATCCACCCGCTCCCCCTTCCACGTTTGCTTTGTTCTTCGTTTCGTCTAAAACGGGAAGAATCCCAGACTCGAAAGGGGCCTCGGCAGGTCGGAAGGTGAGTTACGCTGGCTCAGTTAAACCCGCCACCTCGAATCAGCAAGGAGCGAGAGACAAGCAGTGGCTGTTGCTCCTTCCAAAGGGAGAGGGAAGCTGCACCGTGCCCTCCCGTGGCCGTCCGGAGCAGCAGCCTCTCCGTAACGCCCGAACTGGAGAGTCTGTGCTGCCGCCTCAGAGGCCGTTCCGAGTCCTGCGGCCTCCAGGAGCCCGGGTCACATCGACTCGTCTCTTCCCATCCCCATCCGCTTCCAAACGGGCGATGATTTCAACAAGGAGCGAGTGCAGACCCCAACGTCTGCGCGCCTGTTGCGGGGCCAAGGATTGTGGCCAGCAGGGTCAAGCCCTGGGCCGGTGGCCTGTGCAGAAAAGTCACGGGATTGGGAACTCCGCGTCCCCGCGGTCCCGGCTGAGCGCTGCTGGAAGGAAATCTCGGCCGTGGGCTCGACGGTCGTCCCCGTTTCGCAAAGCTTCCTTACTTGATGAGCTCTGGGTAGAACTGCTTGTCCCATCCGCTGTAGAGAGAGGTGGTGACGTACAACCTCTTCCCATCCAAACTCAGCTGGATCATCTGGGGTCCGCCCGGCACCCTCTTCCCCTGGAATTGGAGCAGAGAATAAAGAGCTGCTCAGGCCAAGCCGCCACGGAGCCTGAAGTAAAGAAATGCAACAGCGAGGAGAAACAACAGCACGGCGGTTCTGCTGCTCCGGGGAGCAGCCAGCGCTCTGAAACCCTGCGGAGAGGGAGCAGTTGTGGGTGGGAGTTTGTTCCTTCCGAACAGGGGGCCCCAAAGCCACCGCCCCGAGTTCCGCTTCATTCGCAGAAGGAGTAAGGTAGGCAAGGGGGAAGGGTGCAGGCTGCCCTGCCGGGATGGAAGCTCCAAACTCAAGGAGGAGGCAGGCGGTGAGCACGGTGCAGAGCGCGTGTGGGTGCCGCAGCCGGGTCACGGCCGCAGCGTGAGGAAGAGGAGTCCCCGGAACCTCCCGCGGTGGGCAACAGGTCGCAGCCACCTTACTCAGCTCTTGCACATCCCGAGACTTTCCGCCGGTGGCTGCCTCGGTGGTGATAACGTTAATGCATGTTGTTAATGACCAGAGGCAATTAACGCTCCCTCATTTCTCTCTCACGACGCCAGGCGCCATAGGACTAATCGCCCCCCCCAGCAGAGCGAGCTGGTTCGGAGCTTCGCCCATCGGCTGCCGGAGGCTCCTCGGGGGCGGCGGTGGCAGCGCCTTGCGCCAGCCCGAAGCCACCCGCGGGGCAGGCGTAAGGACACCGGCTGCGGCACGGCTGGGCAGCGCGGCCAGTTCCCCCCGGACCCAGGAACTGAGCAGGATTTACTCCCTCCAGGCCAGGCTGACAAGAGCCGAGATGCAGAGCGGCTCCGTGCGCGTCCCCTCGGCGGGGGGACGTTCCCCGGCGGGTCACAGTCGGCAGAGCCCTGACCACGCGCTCACCTGGATCACAAAGGGCTCCGGCTGACTCTGCAGCTCCTTGTCTTCCAGCACAGTCACAGCCCCCCCGGCCGTGATGCTGCCTCCCAGGAACACCTGGAACCAAGGGAGTGCGTGAGGACGGCCTCAGCCGCCGAAGGGACACGAAAGCAACACGGTGACGATTCTCAAGCAAAATCAAATCGTCTTTTTCTCCTTTTAAAAGAGAAGGGAGCAGGTGGCCCGTCCTGCCCCTGGCGCAGCCGGGAGCTGCCGCCTCACCTGCCCCACCAGCCGGGGCCGCCGCGGGTCGGAGATGTCGTACTGGCGGATGTCGCCGTGCAGCCAGTTGCTGAAGAACAGGAACCTGTCGTCCAGCGAGATGAGGATGTCGGTGATGAGACCTTCAAGAAAATATTCAGTGGCAAAGTCAGGAAACGGACAGGACCGGCAAGAAACCACACCACGAGCCTGTTCTCTTTCAAAATTCTTGTTGTAGTAGCCTCAGAAAATATGGACTGAAAAATCAGAGTCATCCCTGGAAACTCGGTGCCTACTGAAAGGAGGCTCAGGCTCTCCCAGCGTTCCCAGCACCGCTCCGGAACGCTGCAGCTCACGCTGAAAGGCCCAAACTCCAGGTATTCTCCTAGAGAAGCCGCCCTCGGGCATCGCGCAGTGTGGGAGCGGAGGTCTGGCAACCTCCTGCCTGGTGCCTCATAAACGAGGGTAATTGCGTTACCTCCGGCGTGTTATACCAAGGGTCCAAGCAGGAATCGAGTATTTTACGAGGGGAGTGTTTGCCGTTTACAGATAAGCCTTCGCAAACCCCCACCCGGTCCCAGGGAAGCGAAGAGGACAACACCCCGTTTCTGTCCCAGCCGGGCTCCCACTGACCAGGCATGTCCGGGAGGAGCCATCCTTGCACCTTCTTGCTGGGCACCTCGATCACCTTCTCTGCCGCCCAGTCTCCTCTCTGCGGGGAGAGAACACGGTGCGGTCACGGCCTCGGCGGGGCCGGGGGGCTCGGCGCCGCGCGGCAGAGGGAGGAGAAGCAAATGCTGTTTCTTGAACAGGGGGGACACGTGTTACCGCGGGGCGGGGATGGAAACTGCCACCAGGGAGAACGTGGCAATGGTGGCCACGACACCCGGCCCGGCCGGGCCAGCACTAAGGGCTGCCAACCTCCTGCAGCCCGTCCTGCCTCGGGAACGGCCACCCCCATCGCGTCCCTCCCTCCCTCCGCTGCCTTCAGGCCTTCCCAGGGCGGCCCAAGGCCGGGAGCGGAGGCCGCAGGCCGGGGAGGTTTCACACCTGCTCAGCTCCAGCCCCCTGAGGCCGCCGGGGTGGCCCACAGCCCTGGGAACGAGCCACCGAGCCATGGCCACGGCCCCTTCCTCAGGGCAAGCGCCCACCAGACCAACTGCTGTGGGCCAGACCCCCGCTCTGCGGCGCTGCCACCCCTCAGGAACGGGGATTGAATTGATCGACAAGCCGCTGCGGAGCGGGGGGCGCGGGCTGCAGCCGGCACGTCCCCACTCTGCTCCCTCGGGCCACCAGCCACCCCGCTGCAGTGGCCCGCACCGCACCGGCCCGGCGCGAGGACGTTGGCTGGGCCCGCGCCGCGGTGTAGCTGGGCTGGGATCAGACTGCCGTTAGGAGCCGTATTTTTTTTTAATCCGAATTCTGCTATTTCCTAGGAGACCAGCGGACTTCCGAAACAGCAACGCCCGAGCCTCCGCATCAGCCCCAGCTTTCCTGGCTCACCTCCGTCTTGTAGAACCGATGCACCTCGCTGCTCAGGCCACACGCAACGAACCCCTCTGCGGCGTCGGGGCTGTGGAGGAAGCGGATCTCCAGGGGGACGGAGCCCTTCCCCAGGTCAATGGCCTGAACGTAGGTGTGGGAGCTCCAGTCCCACACGTTAATGCGGCGGCCGTAAAGCCCTGAGGGACCAGGAACAAGCACAGAAGGGACTTGAGCAAAGAATCGCTTCTCCTTTTGTGAGCGTTTAACCAAAGGCGCCCTCACCTCTCTCTACGTCAGCGGGGTTAAACCCGTCTGCCAAGGCTTTGGGGGCTCCCCACTCGGTGCTCATCAGGACGTTGTGTCGCGGCTGGTACCAGAAGTCGTAACCCAGGGGAGGAACCTTTTCCCCATTCTCCCAGTTCCCTTTCACTTCAAAGGTCTCTCCGTCCAGCAGAATAAAGCCACCTGGCATCAAACCCAGATAAAATCGTTTGAAGACATTCACACAGATTCACGGCTTCAAATCAGATAAATATTAATATTTCAATGTCTACTTGCCAAATAGCGTGTAAAAAGCAACCCTATGCCCGAGGAAAACTTTGTGATGCTGTTGGTTTTGCTTTTGTGGGCTAAAGCAAATAAAAGCCGGATTTTTAAAGAACTTTATCACATTTGAATGAATTTTTTAAGCTTTAGTTTGCTCTATTCCTGCTCAAGACAGCCCAATCGATCCATTAGCCCTCCTAGAGCACGTTTCGATTAAGGGATATCTTAGAGAAGATCCTGGGGAGTCATCTCTGGTTTAATTTACTTGCCACCAGTATCCTTGAATTACGTACACAATATGCATCTGTTCCAGGATGTGTTTACCACGATCCGGGAGAGAAAACCCCCGTGAAGAGCAGCAGGGTTAACCACTCACCATCCCAAGTCTATTCCTCCTGCTAGCTCGCATCTCGCTTTAGATGTCAGGTGGTTCACACCTGAACAGGCAGCAAAACTTACACACTAGAATCCTTCAAGAGCTTTAAGAGGAAATGCAATCTAGAAGAGCTCGGAAGGTTTCGTTTTCCTCAGGCAGCGAGACAGAGGACTGAGGTCGGCAACGGACCCTTTTGTGCCCGAGTCACAAGCGCTGAGGCGACAGGGGTTGTGTGGGGGACAATCCTCCCCCGCTCCCCGCTGAAGGGACCCGAGCGAGACGTCGGTGGGTTTCCTGCCCGTGTTAAACCCCCAGAGCCGGCCGCCTTTAGCGATCCACGTGGCAGACCGAGGCGTGGAAGCTGAACTCGTCCGCAGACCCACAGAGGTTCCTCCCCAGCGGGTCTGAGCCGGCTCCCTGGTCACGGGGGCGTCTGTTCACCAAACCACTGCTGGAACGGGCCCGGGCACAAGGGACTGGGAGCGCTTCAAAATCCTCCCAGCTTTGCAGCCGGTACTTTGGGAGCGTGATATACCACAAACAGAGGGGAAAAAAAAATAAAATCTAGGGGATGAATACCTTTTCCATTGCCAGAAGGGTCGCCCAAACAGCTGATCAAGATGTCACCACTGCCCAGACAGTGCGAGGTGTGAGGATTAGCCACGTTCCCCTTCCAGAACAACTCCACTGGCTCAACGATCTGAAAGGGGGGAACACGGAGTCACCGTCACCTTCACTGAGATCTCCAGCGAGTCCCAGGGACCAGGTCTGAAAGAGTGAGGAAGGGGTGGGAACGGCGGAGGTGCGGTGGAAGATTTCTGTTGCACTGGAAGTTTTATTTTGGGAAAATGCCAACTGTTTCTGTGAAGAAGAGATTTAAAAAAAAAAATGTTTAATTTCCCCATATTAAAACATTTTTTTAGCTTTTTCTGTTAAAAACCCCACACATCACAGCTTTAGGAGCCAAGGATCACGAATCAAAGGGAAGGTGTCCGTGACGGAAGAGATCTGGTTTTGCTCAGTGAAAATCCAACCAAATCCAACTCATGGCTCAAAACCATCCCGTCGACATAAGCTCGGCTCAGTGAGTCAGGCAGGAGTTTGCCTCCTCGCTGCAGGCGTTCGGACCCGGTTTTGTAGTCAAAAACAACAGCACAGCGTGCAACTACTTTGAAATTCATATTGCAGAGGCAGGTCGAACTTTGGAGCTTCCTAATTTCTCAGTGTTTGCCACCGCATTTACTGGTGTTCCCTTAGTGCAAGATTTTTGTGTGTTTATTGAAAAAACGGTGGGAGCTTCGAAACTCCCGCAAGGTTCGACAGTAGTTTCCGTAACTCTTCCGGCTCTCCCATTCTAAGTCGGAATCCACCGTCTCTTGGTCAAAATATAAGACCTAAAAGCAGAGTTTAAAGTCATCTAAGCGTACCTTATGGATCCTAGGAGCCCGCGAGTCCGTTCCCACATCCACCACGTAAATTCGAGAAGAGATCAGGCTTGGTAGAATCAGGCGATTTCTTCTCTTTGTGGCATCCCCAAAGCAGCTGCTACAGGCGTTCCACCCCGAGTGGTGGAGCTCGTCCTTAAGGTTCGGCACGGGCAGGCGATGGATCACCTGCCGGGGCACAGGCAGACTTAAGATTCAGCCGGGGATAGTTTTTCCCCTTAGGCAAAGAAACGGGTCTTTATGTCAAAGCATAAATTAATAAAGAGCAGAAGGAAACTGCTACTTGTTATTCAGGAAGCAGATTCAGGCGGAGAGATGCAGAGCTGTGGCTGTAAAGTGGGAGAAGAAAGTTGGACCGGTGCTGCCCGTTATTAAATTAATAAAAATCTTTAACAGACTCCGGCTAATCAAGGAGACATTCGGTAACGATACGGAAAACACAACAGAAAAAACCCTCCCTCGCCCACGTGCTGCAAGTCTCTGACTTAGAACCGGGCCTGACTGTAGCGACTTGTAGTTAATTTGCATTCTTGCTTCTGATTTTTACTTTTCCATTATGTAACTGAGAGGAGTCAGAGGATTACAGCTAAGTTTTATCAGAGTTTTAGGAGATTTGTTTCTACCGCTTGCCACAATAAAACCCTAAGCAGTCTCTATTAAAAAAAAAAAAGACAAATTACGAAAATCTGTGTTGTTAAACCTGACTCGCTGGTCCTTAAACCCCCGGAGATCAGAGTCCAAAGTATCTTCAGTAACTGGAGTCACACAGGCACCGCGCTGGAACGCGGTTTAGCGCGTGCGAGGGGCAGGAACAAACGGAGCGGCTTCTGGCCAGTCTCACCAGTGGTGTACTGGGAGCTGCCCACCCTCAGCTCCCCATTTAGGGGGTAAATGGATCGCATTTGTAACGTCTAATGTGTAGAACTTGCCAGGGTGTCGGACATCCTGCGTTAGACACTGTCTACGCTACGGACACACCCTGAGGGAACGTCACCCAGCGCCCGCGCTCGGCCCCAGCGTAAATCGCGTCACAGAAAGAACAGTGAAAAAACCACCAAACACAAAAATCCTCCCGAAGCGCCTTGAGACGAACGCGACAAATGTGAAGCTTTGAGAAACCCAGTGAGAAAACCAGCAGAGGATCTGCGCGGCTCTCAGCACAAGCCCCCGCGTGCCCCGGGTACCTGGCAGTAGCGCGGGGAGCCGGGGTCCACGTCCACGGTGGCCAGGTAGTCGGGCTTCTCGATCCCGGTGTTTCTGTAGATACAGGGCACGTACACAATCTCCTCCCGGGAAGCTGAACCCCGGGTTTCCCTCTCCCGAGGCGCACAGGCAGCGCCCAGCCGGGGCAGCCCGACATCACCAGGAGGTGCTTGACGAGGTGCGGGGCCCCCCGAAAGAGCCCCCTCCCGCCTGCGAGACCCCGCAGGCCTCTCCCTCCCCCGGGCACACGCGGGACGGCTCCTGCTGCCAGCACCAGGGTTTCGGTCCACAAACGCCAAAACCCCGCTGACTGCAATCGGTAAAAGTGAGGCTTGAAAAAGATATCGCAGGACTGAAGTTCCGACACTACTAAAAGTGACACCAAAAGGCCTCGGGGGCCTGAGCACGGATCAGGGTTTAGCCCAGCGGTGCCGGGGGGAGCAGAGCAGAACCTCCGGGCAGCGGCTCCAAGCCCCCCCCACTCCCCTTGCCCTCGACACTCGCGTGTTTTCACCAGACTGCATCTATAAAGCTCCCCACCAAGGAAACTCTATTTTTTTTTTTAGGTTAAACACTTGCTGCCGATATTCTGAGAGCTTTGTCCTGTGGCGTAGAGAAGCCGAAGGGTTTGTGGAGCGGCCGCCGACACCCCGAGCCCGAGCCCTGCCCGAGCGGGCTCACTCCTGGTAGCGAACGTCCCCTCGGCCTTGGTAGTGAACGAGCCACTCTGGAAGGCACCTGCCTAGTCTGAGCCTAATCCGAAACAATTCCTTACCGCTGGCCTGGATTTAGATCTGCCCCAGCACTTGCCTTTCATGGCGTCCAGAGGCGTTGCATATCCTGGACCACATGCGCCGCATTTTGCTGATTGGAGGGAAAAAAACAAACAAACAAACAAAACAAAGTTCCTTTAATTGCTGAATTATTCCAAAGGGTAACTCTAAGAGGACGCTGGTTTTGCATTCAGGGACTGACAAATCCGAGACCCGACTTTTAAGCCCCTGCACGTCTCGCTGACTCCAGCGCTGAGGTTACCCGAGTTCCTGAGAATACGCGCAACACGACACTCAAAAATAATGGGAGATTTGGGCCGGCGTTCCAAGGCGTTCAGCCTCCGCGTCTGAAAGCACGCTCACGAACGACAAGGGGCTGGGATTTAAGAAAACATTTTAAACGTTTCGCGGAGATCTGCTGAATCACTGCCAGATGCGTGAGTAGACCGATTGCCCAATTTGAACAACCCATTTTATTATTACTGGAAGGCCTCCAGCCTTTCTCTGCGTACAAATGCTGGAGAAGTGCCTGGGTGTGAGGATTTACAGCCCGGGTGAGGGGTGATGCTGCAGGTGAGCCGCAGGGGGTGATGGACCCGCTCTGACCTCTGCTCCGACACCACGGCTCCGGGGCCGGGCGTCCCTGGCTCAGCACCTCGACAAACCAGACGACTGAGTGGGGAAACTCTCGTTTTAGGGAGCCAGAAAGGAAATCTCCGTGTCCCCGGAGAAGAGGGGCCCGATGGGGGCAGGAGGACCCCGTCCCGCGCTCTGTGCCAGCAGGAACGCGCGGATTTACCGGGACAGGAGAGCGAGCGGCGCTTCTGCCCCGAGAGGCAAAACCAGCCGGAGCGTCCGGGCGGCTCCGGGCACAAACCCTCCACGTCTGGGGGGCAGCAGCCGCAGCAGTTGTTATCTCCAGCCCCTCCGCCTGGCAAGGCAGGGCTCCTCTATCAGGGTCCTCCAGATCTCGGAGCGTGAGCCTCCGGGAGCAGAGCGCCAGCTCCGTGCTGACACGTGGCGGTTCCACCCTCCGCGGGTCCCCTCTCGAAGCGGCTTCGCTCCCTCCGCTCCAGCCCGGACCCCAACCACCACGTCGGCAAAACCCGTGTTAGAGCAGCCTCACACGCAGCCATCGCCACGCCAACACGGCCAACAGAGCGGACGGGCTCCGGGCTGCGGCGCTAAGGTGTCAGCTAGAATTATGGGAATATTACCCCGAAACACCGCCCCAAGGGGCAGTGGCAGCATGTTGCAAGTTTATGGGCTGAACTGACACCGGAAATCTCGATTTTCCGACAGTCGGGGAGCCACGGGCCTGCTGAGCGCGATGCCGGGAGCTTCTGCTCCGTGTCCCGGTGCAACCAGAATGAGTTTGAAACCCAGTTTAAACGTTTAAAACCCAGAAGCACGGGAGCGCTCTGCAGCGGGACGCCAGCGTGTTTCTTCAAGACGACGTGGAGCGAAACACGTGCTGACAGAAGCAAAACCATCGTGTGTAGCTGCCTCCCCCCCCACCCCAAGTGTCTGCACTAAAAATGAGCAAACCAGCTAATTACTTCCAGTTCTCTGACATTTAAAAAGATAAAATTTAGGGCAAAAGTGTATTTCAGAAGGCCTCGGATCTAAGATTTCGGATCCAGAGGCAGCGGCGGCCGCGGTGCCCGCTGAACCGCGGAGCCTTCCTCGGGCGGCGAAATGCTCCCGGCAATCCCCTCGTGACTTCATCACCAGGAGCGTCTCAAAAAGAGTCACTTAGCGCTTTAGGTTTAATTTCACGTCCTTTGTGAAATATTTTTATCCGGAAACACAAAATATAAAGTTTGCTTTGTTCCGTTTATGTCTAAGCCGTAATTTAAACTTTATTCCAATTTTCTCAATCCCCTAAATTAGCAGGAACTCGGCATGCATTAGACCACAGCTTAATTAGCATTGCAAATGCAGTTTTCTGCAGATTACTTTGAGAAAACGATTATTTGTGCCAAATTGTTTTCCAGAGAAAACACACAGCGAGATGATGAACGCTTTCTCTTCCTCCTTCCCCTACACGTTGGGTTGTTTTTTTTTTTTTTCCCCTTATCCCTCTGATCCTGTTCAAACACTCTTGCGTTCCGCACCATTGTCTCCAACCGCCCGAAGAGATCTGCGGACGACGCAAGCTCTCCCACGTTACGCAATGCCAAGCTCTTTTGTGAAGGCAAAAGAAGGGTTTTGTCACGAAACTGCGACGTGTACCATCTTGTAGCGAAGTATTAACAATACTATTTACACTGCGATGTTAACAGTGCATGGTTCAACCTGTCCGTGTTACTGGTTACGTTCCAGAGCCCCCGCTAACCCGGCAGCCGACCGAGTGACACGATCGCGCACACACACACACACACACACACACACACACGGGGTTCGCAAACTCCAGCCGGGACAAAAGCATCGAGATTTTTTCCACGTCTGGGGTGGCTCTTGCACCTTTACAGACAAATCCCCTTACAGGTGGCTTCCCACCCTCCCTGTCTTTCTAAACCAAAGGACATTTTTCCACTGCCCCTGGCTCAGGTGTCGGTTTAACAGGAAGGACACTCGGCTTCAGCCGCCTCGCCGTGCAGTTTGCCTCCTTGCACAAGTGAGGTGACAATAACCCTGGTCCCTCCCTACTCCTGCGACCGCATTTGTACGTACACCCCAAGAGCTGATGGAAGTGCCACAGTTCCTTTTGCTACCCTTGTCTACAGCGCTTCTCCCAGTGAAGAGCAAAGGGAACTGAGGAATCCAGTCCAATTTCCTTTTGCTCCGTATTTTTTCACCCCTTTCCCTCTGTTCTGTTCCTCTTTGCGGGGAACAGGAGGGTCAGGGGACCAGAGGCAAGCGTCCCATCCTCCACGAGCCACCAACAGCGATCCACCGGCCGCTCTGGGAAACTCAGTGAAATCGGCGACGAGGCTCGGGGGTATTTTGCTGCACTTCCAGCAGCCGGAGATGCGTAAGCCCCCATTTCCCACAGAACGCAGACGGGGACGCCCCGCAGCCTTCCAGCCCCTCGCGAGGCTTCAGACAGAGAGGAGGCAGTTCCTGATGTCAGAAATGTTGAAAGAGCTTCTCGGACAGTGGCAAAGACCCCGCGCTCTTTCGGCTGGCAGGGAAGAATAAAAAAAAGGTTTCGTTTCCCTCATTTTTGGGGCACGAAGTTGTCCCACAGCGCCAAGTAAAATCCCGTACGGCGCGGGGTCAGAGAATGACCCCGGCTCAGTCAGAGCTCTGGGTGCGTCCGTCCCCGTCACGGAGGAGCCACCTCACGCTGCGGCTCCGCACCGCGGGTGCTTCCCCCCGCCAGGCAGGTCCCCCGGACCCCCCCTCTGCCTTTTCAAGGGCTGTGAGGTCTCCAGAAGCGCTGAGTTCCTCGGGGCGAAGAAATACTGGGGAATACAGATCCCCCCAAAGGAGAGCAAACACCCCAAAACCTGATAAAAGCAAGATTTAGGAGATGGCTTTATGAAAAACTCCTGCAAGTAGTTATTTTTTACAAAAATAAAAGTCCAATCTATTTAAACTTAGCTAACCAGCGTGCTAAAGGCACTATGACCACAAAGAGGCGTTCTCTGATAGTCTGGGCTTAACGGCGTGAAATAAAGGAGAGGAGCAGGCAAGACTCCTGTTCCATTCGCACTATTTTACAGCAGCTCACCTGAGACAAGCTGACGGCGCCTAAAACTCTTCAGAGAGGGAGGTGAGGAGAAATGAGGCAATAAATTAGTCACCTCTTTGAGAACGTAAAGCTGGGTGGAATAAACCTGAGCCAAACTGGGCTTTCTGCAGGGCCCACGTAAACGGAAAGTTTTCTGAGGTTAAGGTGAGGCGTGGGTTAAAGAGCGGCATAATAAAAAATGAAATCTGGTTTATGGTTTGATTGTGCCAAACTGCTGAAATAAAGACGCAAATGGGAAGGGAAAAAAAAAAATAAAATTAGTGCATCAGCTGTAGTTCACACACGGCAAGACCCAGGGCTTGGAGAACGACGGAGCCCGAAGAGGCACCTGCTCTCCGGAACACCCGTCCCCCTCCGAGTGAGAAAGGATGCAAACAGACTTCAACGATCGGCTACAGTTTTGAAGAGCAATCCAAGACTTGATCCACCCTGCAAGAGCCCCGTGACCCATCACCCCCCCTCGGGCCGCCTTGGGCTCCAAGGTGTTTAACTTCCACCCCCCCGCAGGCCGCCGCACCCAGCCCGCCAGAGCTGAGAAAATGAAACTTGGAAAGCAAAAAGCAAAACTCATATTCTTCGCTTCGTACTGTTCGAAACGCGCGGAAAGCTTCATCCTCGGCAGATAAACCTGCACACTTCTGCTGAGCCAGAATCGTTCTTTTCGCCTGTGCAATGGGGGCGGTTTGTTGTTTTTTTTTTTTTTTTTAACCGAGCTCTCCAGTCTCGCCCTGTTTTGGGCAGCGTCCCCCTCGCGCCCTCCGCGGTGACACTCTCACGCAGAATACGCCGCCGTCTCTGTTAGTGCCCTCTATTTCCTGCCCCTGTATCCAAAAACGAAAGTTCCTAAGGATTGCGTGGCCTACCGCACAAAAATATAAGCCAAAAAGTTAAACCTCTGGTCCTCTGTGACCCGCTGAGCGTCGCTCACCCTCAGCCCCCCCGAACCCCGGTGCTTGTTTCAGCCTCGGAGCGCCGAGGGACGGAAGAGTCCCTTAGAGACGGCGAAAGCGGCTCTTACCGACGGCGTCACAGCTACTTGTCTCCAACCGCGGGGGGTTTCGAGAGCTCGGAGCAGTGAAGCCCTAACAGCGGGAGGAAAGGGCCCAACTCCAGCCCGCGTCTCTCCCCGGCCAGCCGCCCTCGGGAGCCCAGTGGCCGCCGCTCGGCCGCGGGGCTGCGTCTCTTACCCATGTCGGCTGCGCGGGAGGAAGGACGGTGCCCGGGACTGGATTCCTGCGGAGCAAAAGCTGCCGGGAGAGGGTCAGATATGGGAGAGCCAGGGGCGGGCCGAGGGCGAGAACCGCGGAGGGGAGGAACCAGGCGGGACGGGACGGGGGTGCCGGCTCTACCGGGGGCACCTCGCCTGCGGGAACCCCACGGAATCGCTTCGGAAAGAGGATTCCTTCCAGACTGACAGCTGCCCCAGGGGGTTGGAAAATCTGGATTCCGCTCTTTATTCCACCTGGGGTTCTGCTAAGCCGTCCCCAGTCGGAATGAGGCGATTATTTCTCGCTGATTTTTTGGAGGGACGGTGCTTTTTCCCAGGCAGAGTTTCCTCCGTCATTTCCAAACCCCGCCCCGGGAGAGGACAGCGCATTTCCAGCCCTGTCCCCCTCCGTCCCCACTTTTACATACCCAGCAACAGCGGAGCCACTAACCGGGGCTGAAACACCTCAGCTACGGAAGGAATTCCCTCCTCCAGCAAGGCAGGAGAGCGCCAGGGAGAGCTGAGAAACCCCCTGTAACTGACCCCGTCCTCAGATTTCTTCAGGGAACGAGCCTTCTTTCCCTGTCGGCGGATTAGACAGACGCGGGCTGTTAACCTCTTTGTCGCTCCAGGCTGGGGGCTGAGTATTTTGTGGGAACAAACTACGGCTCAGAGATGCTTCTCCCCGAATTTTGTTATTTAATACTCCGCAGCTGTAGCTCGGTGTTTGAACGGTGCGATGGGCCAAGTCACGTCCCTCTCCCCCTGTCTGATGGGCTTCCTTCTGCATACTGATCCAAAAAGATAACTTGGGGGGAAAAAAAAAAAAAAAAAGTTTATGTGTATTACTTTTGCCCACAAATCCTCCGTGCAGTTGGACTGTTCATCCTTCATTAATTGCTCCTTGCACATCCATCACTCTTTCTGGTCTTTTCCTCCTCAGACGCAGCCTCATCTGTCCAGCAGTTCCCCCCCTCCCTCCCTTTTCACTTCAAACCCTGTTTTACCACACATAAGCATGATTCAGTGTTTTTTTAAGCCACTATTAAAAAAGTGTGAGTAAGGCATTTCATAAGCTCGAGCGACTCTGTTCCCAGGAGACGCCACGAACCATTCACCGAGGATCTCCCTCCTCGGAGCAGCAGAGCCACCCCCCGCCAACGTGCCAACCCGGGGGGGCAGCGGTTTATTTCTGTTTAAATCCTGTTTAAATCTGACCCAGCGGGGAGCGGGTTATTGCTCAGGATGAAGCCGGCGTTAGATGGAATCCTTAGTGCTCTGGGCTCCCGCCGCGTGCCCCCGGGGAGGCAGCGGGGTCACGCACACCTGGGGCCTTGGCCAGCGCCCCCCCTCCACATAACCAGAGAGAGGCCGAGGTGAGTCTGAACCTCCCGGAGGCTCTGGAACGGCCTCGGGGCAGCCCGGAGCCGGGGAGCTGCAGAAAAGATGCTCGAGATGGAAAAGATCCCGTGCCGGGGGAGCAGCCAGGAACAGCCGGGGGAGATCGCGAGGCAAAACCCGCGGAGCGACAGGGGCTGCGCTAAAACCAAACCCTCCGGTGGCACGGAGCGAGCCCAGGCACTGACCCCGGATTTCAAATGTTCCGACTCTGATCCTGCGTTGTGCCGTTTTGCGTAGCTCATCCTCGGCCGACGCTGCACGGCCTCATACGGTGACAAACCGCTTTTCGGCTGTTGGGTTCAGATTCTTCCGAGGTGGATATAACGTGAAAATTCTTTATTTTCAATCTTTAGACGCTGGATCTACCAACGATTAGGCCAATTCTTTCAAGTACAAGTAGGACGGAAAAATAAACTGTAGGCTCTCGAGTTCAACCAAAGTCCTTTATATAGTCAGAGGAGGTGGAATATTGGGCCCCTCATCTTTTATTGAGAGTCTTTGTATAAAAGCACCACAGAACGACTGAATTATAATGATTAGCCCTTAGAAACCGGACCAGGCACATATCAAAACGTTTGTATAAAATGACATGAAATTGCTACAGTTGGAGTGAGAAATGATTTATTTTCTTCTCTGCCCCGGCCGCGCTGCGCAGCGGCCGCCTGCCAGCCCGTCTGTCTCCCGACCACCGACGACTTCTTGAACTCAGCAACTCAGAATTACGCAACCAAAAGTTCCGTCTTTTGTTTGCGTAATTTGTCCTGCAAAAGCTCTTCGGGAGGGGGGATCGGGACCTTTACACCGCGCTCGTGTTTTCATTCCTGTCATGTAACTAATCCAAACAACGTCTCCAAACATCCCAACACTCCCTCCAGAGCAAGGACACAAGAACAAAAATCTAAATGCCATTGTCAAAGACTACAGCAACGAAGAATTCCCTCTGGTGTGTTTGGCTTGGTAGACAGTTTAATTCCAGGGTTTTATCCTTTTAATGTTTATGAAAACCTTGTGTCGATTTAAATGAATCTTTACAAAACGGGCAAAAACGTGCAAACCTCGGGCAAAACCGTCACAGAGAATGTTGGTTGAGTAAAGACTATTGCATTTAGATGAGCAATGATTCTTTTCTTGCTTCTCTTGATTGTGCCGAGAGTATTAAAGCAAAGGGGAAAAGAAAAACAAACAAACAAACAAATGCAACACAAAAATAAAACTCCAGCCCAACAAAACAGAGCAGCCCACCGGAGACAGATTCATCCACCTCTGAGGAGGGCGGGAAAGGAAAATCTACCCCCCCCAGGACAAGGAAGGGTCAGGTCAGCCAGAGGAAAAACTTCCCCCAGCACAGAGGCGAGGGCAGAGCAAGGCCTGGGACGGGGACAGGACACAATCCCGAGGCCATTGCGTTGAGTCAAAGCCCCAGTTAAGGGCGTCAACGTAAATTAAATTCAATCCCCTTTTATGCTGATGTAAATTGAATTCAGTCGCCTTTTAAACGTGCACTGTCAATCCTGCATTGTGAAACAACTCACCGCTGTTTTTCCGTGAGAGGCTGAATTCAACTCACTGAGCGGCTCACAGATTGCTAACCCCGGGTTTACCAGTAACCCGACACATTCCAGCCAAGCAAAAACCGCACTTTTTAAAATTTCTGTATCTGAATCTTGAATTATTCTCTAAACACCGCTGAGCTCAGGCGCCACGGTAGGGGCATCGTTCGGTTTATTGGACAACTGCTGGCCTGGGAGAGAGGAGAGTCTTGATTCCAGTGAGCAATTAGTGCCTTTCAGTGCCATTAATCCTGATTCCAGTGAGCAATTAGTGCCTTTCAGTGCCATTAATCCCGATTCCAGTGAGCGACCCGTCCACAACAACCTTGGAGTCAATGGAGACACCACAATTTCTTTTTTGAGGATTTGTAGAGGATAAATTAGGCTGCAGGAGACGAAAAAGAGTCAATGGCAGGCAAAAGCAGGAGCCAGGGAACGTCCAGCTTTCCTCTTCCCATCTCCCCCTGGGAAGTGGTTGGACAATTTGTTAGAGCCTGGAAACACCTGGCGAGGACGAGCCCGTGGGTCTCAAGAACAAATCACAGCCGTTCGTTTCTGCGGTAAGAGGAGACGTGAACCAGAAAGGAGAAGTAGAAGAGAACGCAGTTCTTCGTCAGCCGCGGGCGCGGGGCGATGGCCCCCGCGGGGCTCCGGGACCGGGGGGGTGCCAGAGGGGCCGAGCTCCACGCGGGTGCACCCACGTGAACATCTCCCCACACGTCGCCTGTGAGCGGGGCACAGGCACCTTAAACCTGCCACAACAGCAAGGTCGGGCTATCGAGTATTATGGGATTGCGAAAGGGGTTAGAAATGTGGAGGTGGAGAGGTGCTCTTCCAGAAATGCCCCCGCCGTTACCAGAAGGAGCCTGGAAGCCCGAGCAGTCTGACGCATTTTACACAACGTTTGCAGAACTCCCCTCCGGTGGGTCTCTCGGGCTCGTCGCTCCCTCCTGCGGGCCCAGGAGCAGCCGGACCGGGCCAGGCCCAGCGCGGAAGCAGCTCCCGCGTCGCTCAGGCTGCAACGGACGCGGCTACTGGTGAACCGCGTTATTTGTTACACAAAACGCTGCACCGACCCGGCAGCTCCGCCGGCAAACGGAGTCACAGATCTCCACGTGCGACAAGAAGTTATCCTGTCGGCAACTTTCAAATTTCACCACAAACCTGCCGGCAGAGGTTTCTGTTAAACCCCACAGTCATACTCTCTGAAGGGATCACGGTTCTTCTTTTTAAGAGGCAATATGCTCAGCCCCGTGTTTATAAAGCTCACGGCATGAAGCCGAAGGCAGTACAAAATCACACACAGTTACTATTTTTAATAATTTCATAACGTTCAAAGAAGCGGTGTAACCTTGGAGAGCCCGATCTTTTACTTCAAGGTTGATAATAATGAAATTACAACGACCAGATGTTTAGAGAAACTGCAAAGGGAAATCTCAGCTGGGACTTGACAAGACAAACAAACCCCATGATTAAGAAGACAGACACTTTTATAGCCACAACAGCTTCCTGCAGAGAAATATCTTGAGCCTGGGCCAAATCCCAGAGTCCTGGAGGCTGGAGGCCTCTAACTCTCGTCTTGTTAAGACCTCCCTTGAGTAGCTTTCTTCTGCGGTGGTAGGTTATGTGCTAAGTAATTAGCTCATATTTTGCAGATAATATTGTCATTCTTTCCGGAGTGACACCAAGAGCTGTCGGTAAAACCCCGCCGTGTCTCAGCAGCTTTCCCAGGAGAGGAGCCCCACTCCAAGGAGAGCCCTGGCCGAGCCGAGCAGCCGGACGCAACGGGCTCCAGTGTCCCTCGGGTGTTTGGAGCCCTCCAGACACACACGTTCAGGTTTGATCTACCTCGGTGTTATCCGCGTTGCACAAACGAGCTCGTAATTGTGATGAGCGCACCCAAAAGTCCAGTCTGAGCTCCGCATACCCTGAGCTCAGAGGGCGGTTTCTTGTCTGGGGTGTCTGTATCGGTGTGACCCCAAGTGCTCCCACCCAGAGCTGGCCAAGCCCCCAAGGACCTCCTACTGCAATAGCTCATTTAAATAAAAAAGGTGGGTTTTTTTTTAAAAAAAAAAAGACTTAAAAGATTCCTCAGTGGCCAAACAAAATGTACTCTTACCTCTCTGCAACAGATTGAAACAGCTCAGCCCATTTTTACCCTAAAAATAGAAATGTGAGAGTTTTTAATGATTTTGTGCAATCTTTTCCAAGATGCAAGCGGTGACTGAGGCTCACGCAGTCGGCAGCTCCGTGGTTTCAAACAACTCAAGTAGCTCCCGGCCACCCGTTCCCACCCTTCCCGATCCACCAGGTCGTGCAGAAAAAACAGTGGCCAGGGACAGAAACTTGCTACAGGTTTAGTTACCACAGAGAAATTTTGGAGAGAAGGGAAAAATTTATAGCTATAAAAAAAAAAAAAAGAAAAAAGAAAATCCGTGCTCTGTGTTACGCCTTGTAAATGGAAATGAGTTACGATGTATTTGAGCATTAAATTGAGCGTGGAACCAATTGATAAGCGTCCTCAGGCATCGGAGTGACCCATTTGTGCACAGTATTAAGGAAAAACGTTGAGTGGAGGGTTCCCCAAATCCGTTCTTTTGAGGTAAAACAACGCATTTGATTTCTGCTTCACCAGGAGGCCGGGAAAAGCATTTTATGAACAGCTTAGAGACATTTATTGCAATGCTTGTTGGAAAAAAACCCCGAAAAACGAAGCTCAAAACTTCATACGTCAGTTAAAATATAGAACATGTGGATGTTTGAAAGGTTCAGATCTAAAGGATACGAGTTAACTTTATCACAAACAACACGAACTGAACCTTTGTATTCAGCGGGATAAATGAATCGGAGAGACAGTTCCATAATCTAAAGGAAACGGGGAAAAGTCCTGCATTTACAGCAACAAATTATATAATAAAGAAACTGAAAAAAAAAAAATGAGGGAAAACATCACTTACCCGTAGTAATCTTGGGTGTTCTGGGCAGGCAGCTCGCCTCGCGTGCAGGCATCTGACTCGGCCAACCTGCCAGAGGGAAAAAAAGAACTCACACACGCAATTTTGTTTTCCCGTTGCCAGCGGCGTTCTCAAAGCTGATTTCATCCCAATTCTAGTGGAAATTTCTGCTCCCTCAGAACCTTCATTTCTTTTTCTGCCCAGCCCCACGCTGGTTTTTGAATGAGCTTAAGAACCGGACGAAGTCTCCCGCGGCGTGTCCGGCCCCCGGAGCGGCGCCGCCACCCCGAAGCCGCACGTTGAACCTCCGTCACCTTTTGCTGCAGGTTCCACCCTCCGAGCCTGGCAGAGCCCCGACGTGGCAGCGAGGGCTCGAACCCCCTGCAGCAGCAAAACCCACTGCGCCAACTACCTTCGGCACGTGTGGCCTATCCACTGAGCTCCCCTGCACCAAACTTTCTACATCAGATTAGGAAAATGCTGAGGGGTGGGTCGGTGGGGAGGCACCGCCGGACCCTCCCGACCCTCCCGCTCAGGCTGGTCTCACCCAGCTCCTTCCTTCCTCCTCTCCCTGAGGAAAGCAGCATCCCGGTGTCTTCGCAGGCATTTGCCTTCTCCCCACTTCCAGATTTTATTTAGTCTCCTGCTTCTTTCAGCCACAGGTTGTTCAGCAGCTCCGAGACGGCCCCGAACGCTCCTGCCGTTGGCATCTACAGGATGAAAGACAAAAGTCCACCCGCGTGTTGTGTTTTAAAACGTGCCCATGTCACAGTCATCTGTATTCCTAAGGAAAGAGGAATTTTCTTTTTGGAGCAAGACTACCAGACCCCTGTCTCGCCACCCTCGTGGATTTATGCATTTCAGCAGCCACCCAAACCTTCCCGCTCTGACGCGCCCCCCGGACAGGGGCTTTCCTGCTGCTCCAGTGGGACGTGGCAGAAAAGAAAAATAACTCCCCCACGGTGACGTGATTGAAACCAGCTCCGTTCTCCCTGGCGTTAAGTCCGTTTGAGTTCGGTACCTGCGGAACATACACCGGACAAAGACAAAAACGCCGTGGAGAATTTTTACGGCTTCTTTTTTCTTTTAACTTTGCTTTTTCCTCAGGTCTGAGAGACGTCGCGTGTACAAGGAAGGAAGAAATCAAGTTTGGGATTAGCAGATGATAATTTCTTCCAGCGGTAAACACAATCGTTAGTCATCAGCCAGCAATATAAAACTTCGCTGGTAAATCCTTGCTGCTATCGGCATCTGAATTCCATTTACAAACTTAATTTTTCTCATTGTGAGCAACGCCAGCGCGGCTGGCTGTTTCCCCCTTCGTTTAAGGGAAAAAAAATCACCTTTTATTCATAGCTTCTGCTTCCAGATTATCTCTTTTTGAGAAAGCAAGTGAAAATTGCTATTATTATATTAAATAATTAAATAATCCTCCATCTAAGGCAGAGAGGCTGCGAAGCGCAATCAGGAATACAAACGCATAAGCAGCGATTATGATGTTTGTTGTTATTATCAGCGGCAAAACCACCGAAGAGAACGCGGCCCTTCGTACTGCGCACGGCCGCGATTCATAGGTGACAGACAGACAGTCAAATGGAAACACTTCCCTGCAGCGCGAGGTGAAGGAGCCTGGTGCATTGTGTAAACCAGGAAGGAGGGCTGGTAACTCCTGGAGACCATCCGAAGGGAATTAACGTGCTGGTTTAACGAACCACGGGGCAGTAAATCACATTCGAGCAGCGCACGGGTGTCGCAGCACGGGGGTGCGTTTGGGAAGCACAGCACTCACCAGGTTCCTTAGGGGGGGTTTAAGAGTAAGTAAAATAACACTTCCGAGGACACTGAAGATACCTTAACACGAGTTACGAAACGTGGTTTTGTTAAATACATTAACTACCGATAAAAACCACGCATCATCTGTTCTAGCCACAGCATCTTCAGCACCCGGCCGGTACCACAGGCAGGTAGGAGCCGAGTACGTCCCAACATTCCTCAATTATTCACAGTAGTAAGTTCACGATTAAAGACATAAACCCCTCGAATTCATGCGAGGGAGAAACACAGCCACTGACGCCGCACCGGCTTGACAGCGCAAGGAACTTGGAGGGCACCGATCCAGCAACACCCTGCGGCGAACGCACAACTGGAAGCATTTCTACAGCCGCGTCGATCGGGATTTGGATCGTTTAAATACAAGTTAGACCGAGGCTGAAGCGTCCCCTAACGCCAAGGCCGTACCCAGGCCGACGGCTCCCGGCCCCGCTCTGTGTCCTGGCTCCCAGAAACCTCCCCAGCAGCCGTGGGGAAGTTCATGGGGATTTAACCCTCAGCCTCCGCCTTGAAGCCACCCCCGAGGGACGGAGCCTGGCCCAAGCGCGGACACGGCTCCTGGAAAAAGGACGAAAACCGCAGAGATAAGGAGCAGTTTAGTCAAAAAGGCCTCGAGGCATTTTTGGACCTCGGAAATGTTTTTCCTCACTAAACCTCCCGCTGTTGGCATCCAGCAGGCCGGGGGCGTCGGGCCCAGCCCCTCGCCCGCCCCACGGGAACCGGCGGCCGGACTGCGGGCAGCAGCGGTCCGGCCCTCCGGACCCAATTAAGCCTCGAGAACTAATTATCCCTACACCTGTAGATGGTAGCATCGAGCCCTCCCCGCCCCGCCGGCCCACGGCGAGCCCCGGGCGCGGGGAAACGCTCCCGAAGGCGGCAAATTCCAACGGCACAGGTAGAAGCCCCCGCCGCGGCTACCGGGGGAGGGGGGGTTGT